TTTTTTAAGCTTTGTATCCTGTGAGAATAAACCAGCCCTTTGCCCAGAGGATCAGATTTTCCTAAGGACAGAAAAGAGTCAGGAAGGAGGATAATTACCTAAAAACAAATGAGAAGAAAGAGGGAAAGAAATCATATTGCAAGGGGAATGGGTAACAAACAATGGTCACTTGTTTTATTGTGACACAAAACAACTTTTGATAACAACCTTCCCCAGGACCCAAGAAGAGGTCATTCTGTGACCTTGCTCTGTGGTAAGCAGGCAGTCACCTTTGCTAGACCAGGAGCAGTGAAGTCTGGGATAAGGATTCAGGTTGTCCTGTAATACCAGATCTCAAAGGGTCTTTAAGAGCTCATTGAATTCAGTTTTCTAGCTTGGACACTCACCACTGCTTAATCCATTTAGTCAGGGTCTAATGGGAGAATTTCAGCCAAGAGGATGTTCCTGATGCTTTTGAAGGGGAGGCAGGAGCTCTGAAGGCTGAAGTGGACATGGGGATGGGCAGTGCTGCCTCCAGCCTCCCACTGCTATGGGCTCTGGACTCCACTTTGGAAATGAAGCCCAGACAAATCCAAGGACAAAAAAGAAGTATGGCCACACGCAACCCCTCTCCTAACAATAACTCTCACCATGCAGACCACCTAGCAGTCTGCAAATAGGCTGAAGCCCAGGGCAGCTTGCTGTAAAGCAAAGCTGGCCTAACTTTTCTGTTAAAAACTAATATCCTCCAACAACACTTTGGCCTTGTCAGCAGCTTTCCCAGAAAGACATGCACCAACAGATGAATGAGGACAGCTATGCATCACTCTGACGACGGACTGTCACTTTAAAAGCCATTATCTAGCTCCCCTGACTATTTAGAAAGTCCGGCTGGCACTGCTACATGGGGACCAGTGACACTGAAAACCAGCTCCTGCAGGCGGCCTGAGAGAGTATGTTCCAGGGAAGTCCCCTTGCCAGTGCAGATGACCTGTGCTGGGGGAGACAGACCATTCCCTCTAAATAGAGACATCTCTTGGCAATGACCTGTCCCAAACCACAACCAGTGGGATTCCAGTTGGCTGCTAAGAATTTGTGACATTTGTTGCAGCTCCCACATGCCCAAACACCCACTCCAGAGAGCAGGGGGATGATCCCTCCATCCTCACCCACCCAGCTTTAGGAGGTCCTCTGCTTGTGGACCACCTCTCGGAGGGCTGGGTCTTGTCCATGATGATTCTGCCTGTAAAAGCCAGAGTCAGAACGGAACCAGGTCTGACTCCAAAACCTGTGCTCTTTAAATCCAGGGAGAAAACGAAAAATCGAACAGTGCCTAGACACTTCCTATAGATGATGTGAATCGA